TAACAAGTTAAGGAAGCCTAGAGAACTAATGGATTTGTCAGTTAAAAATAGGAGAGGAGAGTTATTAAATGGAGAGTTAGAGGTATTGGGAAGATGGAGGGAATATTTTGAGGAATTGTTAAATGTTGTTAAATTAGACACATGTGCAACTCTTGGGTATCTTTATTGAGGAAACGTTTCGCCACACAGTGGCGAAACGTTTCCTCAATAAAGATACCCAAGAGTTGCACATGTGTCTAATTTAACAACATGTCGGTTCTTTGAACCATTCATCTACAATCCTGTCAGACACTGCAACTTCTTGGGATCTTAATACTTGGAAATTCTTCGCTTGCCTAACCCTTGGGCACGACCTACTTCCACATTAGACAAATGTGACACCACCTACGACTACTGCACCTCACCTGTCATACGGTTTATAAGCTGCTTCTCCGCTCCTATGCCGTTATTCTATTCAAGATTGATGGACTGACCACATGGACTCAAGACTGAGGGACTGATTACCTCATTCTCCTTCTGTTCTTCAAGTTTATCCTTTGTATGGACTGATGAAGCCACTGTGTGGCGAAACGTTTCCTCAATAAAGATACCCAAGAGTTGCACATGTGTCTAATTTAACAACATGTCGGTTCTTTGAACCATTCATCTGCAATCTTGTTAAATGTTGATGAAGATAGGGAAACTGTGATTTCGTGTATAGGGCAAGGAGGAACGACATCTTGTAGGAGTGAGGAAGAGCCAGTTGTGAGTGTGGGGGAAGTTCGTGAGGCAGTAGGTAAAATGAAAGGGGGTAAGGCAGCCGGGATTGATGGGATGAAGATAGAAATGTTAAAAGCATGTGGGGATATAGTTTTGGAGTGGTTGGTGCAATTATTTAATAAATATATGGAAGAGGGTAAGGTACCTAGGGACTGGCAGAGAGCATGCATAGTTCCTTTGTATAAAGGCAAAGGGGACAAAAGACAGTGCAAAAATTGTAGGGGGATAAGTCTGTTGAGTATACCTGGTAAAGTGTATGGTAGAGTTATTATTGAAAGAATTAAGAGTAAGACGGAGAATAGGATAGCAGATGAACAAGGAGGCTTTAGGGATGTGTGGACCAGGTGTTTACAGTGAAACATATAAGTGAACAGTATTTAGATAAGGCTAAAGAGGCTTTTGTGGCATTTATGAATTTGGAAAAGGCATATGACAGGGTGGATAGGGGGGCAATGTGGCAGATGTTGCAGGTGTATGGTGTAGGAGGTAGGCTACTGAAAGCAGTGAAGAGCTTTTACGAGGATAGTGAGGCTCAAGTTAGAGTATGTAGAAAAGAGGGAGATTATTTCCCAGTAAAAGTAGGCCTTAGACAAGGATGTGTGATGTCACCGTGGTTGTTTAATATATTTATAGATGGGGTTGTAAGAGAAGTAAATGCGAGGGTCTTGGCAAGAGGCGTGGAGTTAAAAGATAAAGAATCACACATAAAGTGGGAGTTGTCACAGCTGCACTTTGCTGATGACACTGTGCTCTTGGGAGATTCTGAAGAGAAGTTGCAGAGGTTGGTGGATGAATTTGGCAGGGTGGTATGCAAAATAAGAAAATTAAAAGTGAATACGGGAAAGAGTAAGGTTATGAGGATAACAAAAAGATTAGATGATGAAAGATTGGATATCAGATTGGAGGGAGAGAGTATGGAGGAGGTGAATGTATTCAGATATTTGGGAGTGGACGTGTCAGCGGATGGGTCTATGAAAGATGAAGTGAATCATAGAATTGATGAGAGGAAAAGAGTGAGCGGTGCACTTAGGAGTCTGTAGAGACAAAGAACTTTATCCTTGGAGGCAAAGAGGGGAATGTATGAGAGGATAGTTTTACCAACGCTCTTATATGGGTGTGAAGCATGGGTGATGAATGTTGCAGCGAGGAGAAGGCTGGAGACAGTGGAGATGTCATGTCTGAGGGCAATGTGTGATGTGAATATAATGCAGAGAATTCGTTTTTTGGAAGTTAGGAGGAGGTGCGGGATTACCAAAACTGTTGTCCAGAGGGCTGAGGAAGGGTTGTTGAGGTGGTTCGGACATGTGGAGAGAATGGAGCGAAACAGAATGACTTCAAGAGTGTATCAGTCTGTAGTGGAAGGAAGGCGGGGTAGGGGTCTGCCTAGGAAAGGTTGGAGGGAGGGGGTAAAGGAGGTTTTGTGTGCGAGGGGCTTGGACTTCCAGCAGGCACGCGTGAGCGTGTTTGATAGGAGTGAATGGAGACAAATGGTTTTTAATAGTTGACGTGCTGTTGGAGTGTGAGCAAAGTAACATATATGAAGGGATTCAGGGAAACCGGCAGGCCGGACTTGAGTCCTGGAGATGGGAAGTACAGTGCCTGCACTCTGAAGGAGGGGTGTTAATGTTGCAGTTTAAAAACTGTAGTGTAAAGCACCCTTCTGGCAAGACAGTGATGGAGTGAATGATGGTGAAAGTTTTTCTTTTTCGGGCCACCCTGCCTTGGTGGGAATCGGCCGGTGTGTTAATAAAATAAAAAATAATAAGAATCTTTCTTTTTTGTTGACAGGTAAAGATGTGAGCGATGTACGCAGACTGTCCCATGTGCATCTATGTGAGCGATGTACGCAGACTGTCCCATGTGCATCTATGTGAGCGATGTACGCAGACTGTCCCATGTGCATCAATGTGAGCGATGTACGCAGACTGTCCCATGTGCATCAATGTGAGCGATGTACGCAGACTGTCCCATGTGCATCAATGTGAGCGATGTACGCAGACTGTCCCATGTGCATCTATGTGAACGATGTACGCAGACTGTCCCATGTGCATCTATGTGAGCGATGTACGCAGACTGTCCCATGTGCATCAATGTGAGCGATGTACGCAGACTGTCCCATGTGCATCAATGTGAGTGATGTACGCAGACTGTCCCATGTGCATCAATGTGAGTGATGTACGCAGACTGTCCCATGTGCATCAATGTGAGTGATGTACGCAGACTGTCCCATGTGCATCAATGTGAGTGATGTACGCAGACTGTCCCATGTGCATCTATGTGAGTGATGTACGCAGACTGTCCCATGTGCATCTATGTGAATATCCCAGAAATAGACTGAAAGGCTTTAAAAGAAGGTTCGGTAAAGAAGATGAGAAACATAATAACAATAATAATAATGTATACTATATGGATCTTCTATGAAGATGCGATCATTGTATTTTATTACTTAATAAACCAAAATATTTACGATATTCAATTCATTGCATCTTTGTAGAACATATTCCTTAGAACACATTCAGTGTTACATGTTGCTCCTTGATTCACCACTTAATCAGTGGCTAGTAAGTGTTGCTTCATATGAGAGGGACTGAACACCCTTAACTCAGCCTGGGACATGGCCTGGTGGAGCCGGCGAGTGCCGGCGAGGGCAGTCGAGGCAGAGGTACTCGAGTGTAGCATAGCTTAATGGTGCCAGAAAGTGGGTGAACCATGAGCATAACTCAGGCGTAGGTGCCAGAGAATGACTCTGTGAGACTTCAGCGAGAGATGGTGGGCATAATTCCTCTTGTTAACCCTGCAACGACTTGCTTCACTGTTCCAGTCGAGGCCGTACCCTGTTACGTACCTCAGCCACAGCGATGTCTCCCACCGTGCTGCACGGTCTGTGAGGCAGTCCCAGAATGGTGTATTTCCTTCCGTAAAAGTTCATGTATGAAGTGACCTGGAGTTTACCTGGAAAGGGTTCCGGGGGTCAACGCCCCCGCAGCCCGGTCTGAGACCAGGCCTAGGGGTGGATCAGGGTCTGATCAACCAGGCTGTTACTGCTAGCCGCACGTAAACCAACGTATGAATCACAGACCGGCTGCTCAGGTACTGGCTTTAGGAGTCAGTCAAGCGCCTTCTTGAAGACAGACACGGGTCTCTTGGTAATCGCACTTGCAGTGGCTCACTGTTTTGTCAGCTCAATTTTTAGCACCTCCACCTTTTTATTTTCTTCCCTCCTGTTAGGAAGTTTTTCATTGTACGTTACGTTCTGCATATAATGATATCGTCCACGTCATTACCCTGCTCCTACGAGACAGAGAGTTTTGTACAATCACTTGTCACGGTCGGGAGGACCATTGGTAGCATCCGCCAGCGATATAATAACTGCTGTTCTATATTTATACTTTGTGACAGGCCACTAGATTGGTGCTGCCTAGGCCTACCTAAAATTCCCTCTACGAGCTACTTCTCTCTAACAATAGCGCTAGTCAGCCTAGAAACCAGACATACCTCTCTCCAAAATGTCTCTCACCAGGCTGGGGTCCAGGTTTGGCCGAGAATACACACACTGCCTGTACCATAACCCAGTAAACACAAGGCTAGCCTCCCACGCTGATATATTTGGCGACAGTGATTATCTAGAAATAACATTATACCAATAATAATAATAATAATAACAATAATAATAATAATAACAATAATGATATTAGTAATTATTATTATTATCATTATTTGTCTTAAATTATTAGTTTCTTACTATATTATTTATCATATTTATTGTCTTCCACCAAGGTTGGTCAACCCAAAAAAAAATAAATATTATCAACTATTTTTTCATTGGATGTCTTATTCTTATTATTTTCATAAATTCTTGTGTTCATTATATTTACGAGAGACATTTAGAGTATCTGGAAAATGAAAGACAGCGAGGCTTGATCTGGGGTAAGAAGAGTGCAGCGTCAATACCTCGGTTCCAAAGACCTTCCTTAGCACGACGGTACCAATCTTAAATGGCAGTGTAGAATTAGAGTTTGGGAAATGTAGCAGAGGACATTTTGCGTCAGCACAAGAAGTGGTGACCCCGTCCAGTAAACCCGTAAGGGTCAGTACAAGAAGTGATGAATGCTCGATCATCCTTATACTTAGTCCTTGAGGGAAAATCAACAAATGGAGTCTAGATTGAGGAAATCCCGTACCAGATGTTTTTAAGCACATGTCTCGGAGACACTTTGTACCAGCAATATAAACAACAGCTGTAGTTGTTCCCATGGATGGCCTGGTATATATACCACCATCTCTTCCCTCACTCTTCACTTTTAACAACACCTCGTCACTTCACCTCCCACAAGGTAACCATCTATTATACCTTCACCATCATCACTATTCGCTTTTAGCAAGACTACCTCCGTTAATTTACCACCTCTCACAATCACCATAATTACAACCACCATCTTCACCTTCATGGTGATGATGATGGCAGTCATAATCCTTATTTACCTCATAATCAAGTTTACAACTCCACCATCATCGGGCTGACAACTGGTGATCAACACCAACAAGTATGGAAATGAGACATATGAGGAATTAGAACTGTTATTTCGGAGAAGTTTGTCCAACCATGACTTTGTCCGTCTAATACAGAGAACAGAAAGCAGAATAATATAATATGAGGGATCAGGCGCTACCTGAGCTGTGGGAAGAATATTCGGTGATGGCAGTGTTCTGCTTCAGTATAATGTGTTCACAAAGATTTTTCTAGATAATGAAAGTATTTGTGTTTTGAACGATTCCATACATCGTTTACAATGAAAATCTGATTTCATTATGACAAGTCTAACTTTTTTGGAACTTCATGAGATGATTGTAGGCGTTGTGGTTTGTGGTACTTCCGTTAGTTGGATCATCCCTTTGGCAAGTGTGTATGTGTTCAGTGATCCATTGTTTAAGGATCCAAGAAGTTTCACCCCATAAATAGTTTATCAGATCCCCCATTCATGGAATAGTGCACATTTCAGCGCTGGATTCACTGTGCTGTGTGTTCTCTGTGTTATTAGGTTCTTCGGTTTGTTGTAAGCAATTCTAGATAAGTGGGTTTTGATTTAGCAATAAAGCTGTCGATAGTCCTCAGAAATGTGTCCTACTGGGAGAATAACATATCAGTCTGGAGTCTTCCTCTGTCTGCTAATGTGAAAGATTTTAGCCGCCTTCTACATCGTTGATAAACTCGTTGGAAAAAGTGTTTGATATATAACTGTATTCTCCACTGAGTAGCACAGTTTGTGATTCAATAAGCCCTTAATGACGGCTTCTCTCTTAGTGCATGTGTTATGGGCTGATAAATAGTGAAATAAGTCATATTTGTTTGTGGGTTTTCCATACTCTAAAATCCAATTTTAGGTAATTTCTTAGAATTATAACATCAGGAAAGAGGTATGAGTTTATTCTGTTGTTTCTCCGTGTAAGCCTGAAAACATTGTTCCACACTGATGATAGTTTTAGAGGCCCAGTAGTGTCTTGAATATCTTTTACATATTATTCCTTAGTTTCTCGTAGTGAGTAAAGTTTCATGGTCTCCTGCAGGAGCTCAATATACATGTTGACTATGACAGCACTAGGGGTTGAACCCACAGTTATTCCATATGACTAACTGTACCCATAGTCAACAAAAGAGAAACAGATGACAAAGTACCTGGTTGAAAATAGGAGGTCCAAATCATCTGTGACTGTTTTGGAAAAAGGAGAAGTTGAGTGGTGGGGAACCAGGTGAATAATGAAGTGGAATTATTTCTTGAATGTTTATTATTAATGAACTTAATGTTCTAGATTTTGTCACAAACATTGTCAAAGTTTTTGAAGTGCTCTTGGCAGATTGTTTCCATGGGTTTTGATAAATGTTTTGCAAGAGCAGGTCATACATGTAGACAGGCATAAACAAATTTAAAGTCCCTGCTTTTCAACCAAGCACAAATATTATTATTATTATTGTTATTATTATTATTATTATTATTATTATTATTATTATTATTATTATTATTATTATTATTATTATTATTATTATTATTGTTATCTAGTGTTTACTTTCTGTGTACAGATGAAGGTTGCTGTGTTGCTGCTGTGCTTCTTTGCCCTGGCTGCTGCTTACCCCTCATGGGAGGAGTTTAAGGTAATGTTGTTATTGTAGGTCTTTCATTACCTTAATGTTTTAAGTTATCAACTTCATTTCCCTAACATATTAAGGTAACTCCTTCATTACCTTAACAAATTAGGATTACTTTCTTATTACCTTAACCACGTATTCCGGTAACTTGCTTAATATCGTAAAATGTTTTTGTATCGTAAGGTTTTCTACTCATAATATACAATAATGTCGTTGGAGACGGAGTTAAAAGTCTCAAGTAAATCTACTGTGTAATGACTATGGTAGAGGATACAGAAAAATGTTAGAATTAATTTATTACACTATGTTCTAACAAAATGGCAATGCGGTTCAATATTGAAAAATTTTGAAGTTTGAATCTTTGAGAATATACATAATTCACTGACCATTAACCTGAAAAACGTAGACTTTGATGATACTGAATGTGGAAAAGACTCAAGAAATCTTGGTAACAAAAAATATAAGTGCAAGACAAAAGTATCTTGAAGTCCGCAGTAACACCAATGGACTAATTGCAATTGTACAGAAGTTTAAATAACAGAAATCCCGAGTTTAGAGACAAGAGAACATCTAATGGGACTTTTATTATTGCTTCATTTCACTCCCAGGAGTAAACATAGAGTAGATCCAGCATCGACAAGTTTCCTAACAAAGTGTCTTATTTGTCCATTACATAAAGTTGTCGTTATCATTATATCAAAGATAAATTATCCTGACAAGCTGATAAATAAGACACGTGAACATCACCTGGGTATCTTTATTGTGGAGACCAGGAGCTTTATCACTGTAATACTGAATCTCCATAACAGAAGCATTTGAGCAAGTGGAGAGATGTAGTGTACGTGAACATATGTGGCATCACCTACCTCCTCTAGTGATCCACACATGACCTACCTCCTCCAGTGATCCACACCTCACCTACCTCCTCTAGTGACCCACACGTCACCTACCTCCTCTAGTGATCCACACATGACCTACCTCCTCCAGTGATCCACACCTCACCTACCTCCTCTAGTGACCCACACGTCACCTACCTCCTCTAGTGATCGCCACATGAAACACCTCCTCTAGTGATCCACACGTCACCTACCTCCTCTAGTGATCCACACGTCACCTACCTCCTCTAGTGATCAACACATGACCTACCTCTTCCAGTGATCCACACCTCACCTACCTCCTCTAGTGACCCACACGTCACCTACCTCCTCTAGTGACCCACACGTCACCTACCTCCTCTAGTGACCCACACGTCACCTACCTCATCTAGTGATCCACACGTAACCTACCTCTTCTAGTGATCCACACGTGACCTACCTCGTCTAGTGGTCCACACGTCACCTACCTCCTCTAGTGATCCACACGTGACCTACCTCTTCCAGCGATCCACATGAAACCTACCTCCTCTAGTGATCCACACATGACCTACCTCCTCCAGTGATCCACACGTGACCTACCTCCTCTAGTGATCCACACGCCACCTACGTCCTCTAGTGACTCATACCTCACCTACCTCCTCTAGCGATCCACACGCCACCTACATCCTCTATTGATCCACAAGTCACCTACCTCATCCAGTGATCCACACGTGACCTACCTCCTCTAGTGATCCACACCTCACCTACCTCCACTAGTGATCCACACGTGACCTACCTCCTCTAGTGATCCACACCTCACCTACCTTCTCTAGTGATCCACAAGTGACCTACCTCCTCTAGTGATCCACACGTGACCTACCTCCTCCAGCGATCCACACGTCACCTACCTCCTCTAGTGATCCACACGTGTCCTACCTCCTTCAGTGATCCACACGTGACCTACCTCCTCTAGTGATCCACACGTCACCTACCTCCTCTAGTGATTCATACCTCACCTACCTCCTCTAGCGATCCACACGCCACCTACCTCCTCTATTGATCCACAAGTCACCTACCTCCTCCAGTGATCCACACGTGACCTACCTCCTCTAGTGATCCACACCTCACCTACCTCCACTAGTGATCCACACGTGAACTACCTCCTCTAGTGATCCACACGTGACCTACCTCCTCTAGTGATCCACACGTGACCTACCTCCTCAAGTGATTCACACGTCACCTACTTCCACTAGTGATCCACACGTCACCTACCTCCTCTAGCGATCCACACGTCACCTACCCCCTCTAGTGATCCATACGTTACATACCTTCTCTAGTGGTCCACACGTCACCTACCTCTTCTAGTAATCTACACATCACCTACTTCCTGTAGTGATCCACACATCACCTACGTCCTCTAGTGATCCACACCTCACCTACCTCCTCTAGTGATCTACACGTCACCTACCTTCTCTAGTGATCCACACGTCACCTACCTCCTCTTGTGATCTACACGTCACCTGCCTTCTCTAGTGATCCACACGTAACCTACCTCCTTTAGTGATCCACACCTCACCTACCTCCTAAAGTGATCTACACATCACCTACCTTCTCTAGTGATTCACACGTCACCTATCTCCTCTAGTGATCCACACGTCACCTACATTCTCTAGTGATCTACATGTCACCTACCTCCTCTAGTGATCCACGCGTCACCTATCCCCTCTAGGGATCCACCCGTCACCTACCTCCTCTAGTGATCCACGTCACCTACCTCCTCCAGTGATCCACACACCTACCTCCTCTATTGATCCACACGTCACGTACCTCCTCTAGTGATGCACACGTCACCTTCCTCCTGTAGTGATCCACACGTCACCTACCTCCTCTAGTGTTCTACACGTCACCTACCTCCACTAGTGATCCACACGTCACCTTCCTCCTGTAGTGATCCACACGTCACCTACCTCCATTAGTGATCCACACGTCACCTTCGTCCTCAAGTGATCCACAGGTCACCTTCATCCTCTAGTGATCTCTACGTCACCTTCCTCATCTAGTGATCCTCACGTCACCTTCCTCCTTTAGTGATCCACACGTCACCTACCTCCTGTAGTGATCCACACGTCACCTACCTCCTCTAGTGGCCCACACCTCACCAACCTCCTTTAGTGACCCACACGTCACCTACCTCCTCTAGTGATCCACACGTCACCTACCTCCTCTAGTGATCCACACGTCACCTACCTCCTCTAGTGATCCACACGTCACCTACCTCCTCTAGTGATCCACACGTCACTTACCTCCTTTAGTGATCCACACCTCACCTGCCTCCTAAAGTGATCTACACATCACCTACCTTCTCTAGTGATTCACACGTCACCTATCTCCTCTAGTGATCCACACGTCACCTACATTCTCTAGTGATCCACATGTCACCTACCTCCTCTAGTGATCCACGCGTCACCTATCCCCTCTAGTGATCCACCCGTCACCTACCTCCTCTAGTGATCCACACGTCACCTACCTCCTCCAGTGATCCACACACCTACCTCCTCTATTGATCCACACGTCATGTACCTCCTCTAGTGATGCACACGTCACCTTCCTCCTGTAGTGTTCCACACGTCACCTACCTCCTCTAGTTTTCTACACGTCACCTACCTCCACTAGTGATCCACACGTCAACTTCCTCCTGTAGTGATCCACACGTCACCTACCTCCTCTAGTGTTCTACATGTCACCTACCTCCACTAGTGATCCACACGTCACCTTCCTCCTGTAGTGATCCACACGTCACCTACCTCCATTAGTGATCCACACGTCACCTTCCTCCTCAAGTGATCCACACGTCACCTTCCTCCTCTAGTGATCTCCACGTCACCTTCCTCATCTAGTGATCCACACGTCACCTTCCTCCTTTAGTGATCCACACGTCACCTACCTCCTGTAGTGATCCACACGTCACCTACCTCCTCTAGTGGCCCACACCTCACCTATCTCCTCTAGTGGCCCAAACGTCACCTACCTCCTCTAGTGATCCACACGTCACCTACGTCCTCTAGTGATCCACACGTCACCTACCTCCTCTAGTGATCCACACGTCACCTACCTCCTCTAGTGATCTACACGTCACCTACCTCCTCTAGTGATTCACACGTCACCTACCTCCTTTAGTGATCCACACGTCACCTACCTCAAGTGACCCACACCTCACCTACCTCCTCTAGTGATCCACACATGACCTACCTCCTCTAGTGATCCACACGTCACCTACCTCCTCTAGTGATCCACACATGACCTACCTCCTCTAGTGATCCACACGTCACCTACCTCCTCTAGTGATCCACACATCACCTACCTTCTCTAGTGATCCACACGTCACCTACATCCTCTAGTGATCCGCACGCCACCTACCTCCTCTAGTGATCCACACGTCACCTACCTCCTCTGTGATCACACGTACCTACTCCTCTAGTGATCCACACGTCACCTACCTCCTCTAGTGATCCACACGTCACCTACCTCCTCTAGTGATCCACACGTCACCTACCTCCTCTAGTGATCCACACGTCACCTACCTCCTCTAGTGATCCATCATTTATGCAAGAAGACTTAACATACATCACATTCATAAGATTAGTAAAGAAGCTGGAATTATTATCCAATCAGTTATTGCAATGGAAAACGAAAGTAAACTATTATTTCTTATGATTTATTCAGGTTACACACAGCTACTATTATGTACTCTGACATATAAGTATTTTACTTACCAGGCCACTCACAGCCGCAAGTATGTGGACGCTGAGGAGGAGAAATATCGCAGAAGCGTCTTCGAGGAAAACCTTGAGTATGTGAAAGAGTTCAATGAGAAGTATGAGAGAGGAGAGGTGAGCTTCACTCTGGCCATGAACAAGTTTGCTGACATGGTAAGTTACTTTACAATGTCTTCCTCTTCAAGTAAACTTGTTAGAAAGTGAGGTGATATATTTTTGTTTATGGTATACCATATCCTGTTGCTGGCTCTCATGAAAGACAATTTTATGCTAGTCAAAAAAAAAAAATTGTTGTGTGTTAGGTTAAGTTAGTTATGGGAAAGCTAGGTTTAGTTTGGTTGGATTTTAATCCAGTCTAAAGTAACCCAAAACAAAACAAACCTATTCGCACAACAACAACAGAACCTCACCAAGTTCATCACATGCTGCTATCTTAAACCAAACCCTCGATCATTTAACCTAACTCAAACATAAACTAAGAAAATAATTTTTCTTCAGTTTTACTCTCATTCACTGCATTTTCATTTACTCTGTTCTTAACTTGTAGTTATTACTGATAATCATTTCATTAACCGTAATTTAACACGAATATGCTCGTTAGGTATTAGTCTTTTCTATGTTGTTTGCTGTCTAACTGTTCTTGTCTAGAGACACAGCAACAATAGTATATGCAGCCCTGCCAGTAGACTCCTGCTTACATCCGTCTGTGTGTATATAATTCGTGATAAATTATTACTAACAGTTAAGCGAGAAATTTCTATTTGTGCAGTTACTTGTCTTGCAAGTGATTTAAGGATGAGATTAATTATTAATGATGAGTTTCTTGGAAGGAGCTTAGTAGTGTGTTATATTTAATAAATACAACTTCAATGGACGGGTGAAATGTTCGTGTAGTTTACAGTGATGCAATTTGTGCAGGTTGTAAAAGTCCAAAATACAAGTTAAGGAAGAAGCTTTAATTGAGGTAACGCTTTGTTGAACAGAGATTAGAGCTTGTTCTACAACCTGCATCTTTGTTGAACAGAGATAAGAGTTTGTTCTACAACCTGCATCTTTGTTGAACAGAGATAAGAGTTTGTTCTACAACCTGCATCTTTGCTGAACAGAGATAAGAGTTTGTTCTACAACCTGCATCTTTGTTGAACAGAGATAACCTGCATCTTGGATACAAGCATCTGTGTACTACATTTGTTAATATTGTTGGAATATGACAGACAAATGAAGAGTTCAACGCTGTGATGAAGGGATACAAGCGAGGAACTCACACTGAGCCCCACACCGTCTACCAAGTCAAGGAAGATGCTCCCAGGGCAGCTACTGTTGACTGGCGTACCGAAGGTGCTGTCACCGGTGTCAAGGACCAGGGGCAGTGTGGTTCATGCTGGTCCTTCTCTGCCGTAAGTGATTTATCTCATTTTGTGATTAGTTTATGAAAGTAGGTAAGAAGAGCAATATTTTACTCATATCATTAACAGGCACGACAATAATTGAAGAAACACCAAGAAAGCCAGTGTCACATTTTTTTGTTGTCCTTAGATTCTCTTGCCCAAGATGCCACCCACAACAGCCTGTTAATGCTCTGGTACCTACTTCCTGCTACGAAAGCTGGAACAACTGATTATAGGAAACTTATTCAGTGTTATCACTCATACAGGGATCGAACCAGGATCCTTAAGAAGTTAGCCAAAGATGCAAGCACAATGTATAGCTATTGCAAAGTAACATTGGACGGAAGGGAGATAAGTGGAGTAGTCGATAGATCCTGGTTATCAACCAACTATTATAGATAGCATAATGGAGGGAGTGGATGAAACCCCAAAAGAAATAAGACAAAGTTCTCGATGACAACCTGACAACACTGATTTATGCTGAGGTACTAACATTCCGGGTTAATAATATCAAGGAACTCTTCCACCGTGGTGACCATCATGGTGACAACCGTGGTGACCATCATGGTTGTTATTGCTGTTCTTTCTGTTGAACAGCGGTTTAGTGCCGATGAATGTAGCATAGGTAGCAATGATACGGCCGTGGACAAGGTTGGCTTTAATTGGATAGGAGTGAGTACACAATGGGCAATGTGAGGGAATGGCCGCAAGCCAGTCCGTGGAGGGGAAAGCACTTGTGCCTATCAGGTCGGTCGGCCTAGGAGTGAGAGCGAATGGGCTCAGCCTCCCACTGACCTGGGTGAGCCTACAGAGGGCAGCACCTAAATGCCGCGAAATATGATCTAGTCAGAACAGACGGCTAGGCTGTGTGTTCTGACAGTACAGGCTGTCTACATGGTGACAACCGTGGTGACCACCGTGGCGACCACCGTGGCGACCATCGTGGTGACCATCGTGGTGACCACCGTGGCGACCACCGTGGCGACCATCGTGGTGACCACCGTAGTGACCATCATGGTGACCACCGTAGTGACCATCGTGGTGACCACGGTGGTGACTATTGTGGCGACCATCGTGGTGACCACCGTGGTGACCACCGTGGTGACCACGGTGGTGACCACGGTGGTGACCACCGTGGTGACCACCGTGGTGACCACCGTGGTGACCACCGTGGTGACCACCGTTGTGACCATCATGGTGACCATCCTGGTGACCATGCTGGTGATCACCGTGGTGACCATCGTGGTGACCACTGTGGTGACCATCATGGTGACCACTGTGGTGACCATCATGGTGACCATCCTGGTGACCATGCTGGTGATCACCGTGGTGACTATCGTGGTGACCACTGTGGTGACCATCATGGTGACCATCCTAGTGACCATCCTGGTGACCATCCTGGTTACCATCCTGGTGAAAATCCTGGTGACCATCCTGGTGAACTTTGGAATCTCTTGCCAAACATCAACCTTATTATATATATTTCAATGTATTTCAAATTATTAAATTGTTTTTCATAGGCTTATTCAGAAGATCTAATTATCTATAGTTATCTTAAATTGTTTATGAATACGTCAGATTACTATAAAGTTAATTATTTATAAGTAAGATTATGTTAAAGAAATAGAATTGTAGAAATTGCTGCTATTGTTTGATCCATCTGTTAGTAAATTATTGTTCAATTATTATTTTATTTAACTTATAATCCAGTAGTTATTTCTGAGAATAAAAACAATTTAGCACATATGTTACTCATTACTACTATAAGAAACAAGTATATAAAATACGTAAAAGTTAGTTTGGGTGGAACAGACGCGGGAGTTAAGTTTCCACAAGCCATTTACTAGCAGTGATGTAACGAAGAACTTAAGCAGCTTCTCCCTTCCTGTCACAGACTGGTTCCCTGGAAGCTCAGCATTACTTCGCCACTGGTAAACTGATCAGCCTGTCAGAGCAGCAACTGGTTGACTGTGCTGGTGGACTGTACTTCAACCAGGGTTGTAACGGTGGTTGGGTCAACCAAGCCTTTAAGTACATTAGGGACCATGGATCTGAGAAAGAGACAGCTTACCCCTACACAG